ACTCCCGAGATTGCCTGATACACATGGAAAAAAATGTTTTCAAGTGAATCAAATGGCTGCCAGCTATTGTGAAATCACACTGAAATATGCATTGCATGCAGAAATATCCTGCATGAAAAGGAAATGGGAAAACATAGGGAGAATGCTTTGGAAAAGGTTTATCTCAAAGAGGAGATATATGTTACTAAATTTCTGTTCCTTCCCCTCTCTATTTGTCCCTCAGATAGTGAAAAGGGAGGTAGAAACAATGAGGGAGATAAAGGCGTTATTTTAGCGGTGGGCAGATCATTAACCCACTGAGCTACTGATAAATCGATTGCAGCGCTTTCCTGTTTGTCATTTTCTCCTCCTTTCCAGATGGCACTGATTCTTGTTGAAATATATTTCCATAGGACTGCTGTTAGCTTCTGGTATCTCATCCAAGTGGCCATTCTTGTTAACTGAGCCCAGTCAGTCAGTGTTGGCAGGGTATTCAATCATGAAAGAGATCAGAGACAATGTCTCCTCAGTACAGACTCACTTTCAATCTAGGGAGCGGGGTGTTACTGGATAGCAAATAGTTCATTCTTTTTCTTCTTCCACCTACAGGGACACTGAGCACAAATATAGCTAAGCTTAATCAAAAGATCAAAGGTGAATACCAGTGAATACAGACAGCCAAAGTTCCGCACAGCCAAAATGTGTTGAACTTTATAAAGGACAATGGATTGGCTCAGAAGGCACTAAAATAATCATGTCTTTTCAGAGTCAACACAGTGTGGAGCTGGAGGAACACAGCAGGTCTGGCAGCACCAAAGGAGCAGGCAAGTTGACATTTCGGGTCGGGACCCTTCTTCAAAATTGGGGAAGGGAAAGTGAGCTGGGAAATGAAAAGAGGGAGGGGGGTGGGGCTGGGGGAAGGTAGGTGGGATGGTAATAGGTGGATGCAGATAGAGGTTGGTGGGGATTGGTCAGTGGGAAGTGTGGGGCAGATAGGTGGGAGAAAAGATTGACAGGTAGTGTCAGATCAAGGAGGTGAGAGGGAGGAGGGATGCGGCTGGGGGAGGTGGGATGGTAGTAGATGAATGCTGGTGGGCTGTAGTAGGGATCGGTCAGTGGAAAGGGTGGGTGGATAGGTGGGGAAGAAGATGGACAGGTTGTGTCAGGTCAAGGAGGTGGGGATGAGAGGGAGGTTTAGATGTGAGATAAGGACGGGGGGAGTGGGGAGATTTTAAAACTGGTGAATTCTATGTTCAGGCCATTGGGCTGCAGGCTCCCGAGGCGGAATATGAGGTGTTGCTCCTCCAGTTTGTGGGTGGTGTCATTGTGACACTCGAGGAGGCCCAGGATGGACATGTCACCCAGGGAATGGGAGGGGGAGTCACTTCTGCCGCAGATGTCACTTTCGCTTCCACTTACGTGAACATCCCCAAACATACACCCGCTCCTGAGATAGTCTCCATCCCCACGTGCAGCACCAGGTCTACACCCAACCCCAGCCACAGGCTCTGCGGGACGAACATTCAGTCCTCGGCAAAGCACTCGTCTTCATTCCCCTCTGCCCACGCATCAATGAATTCCATTCATGTCTGGACGTGTCGGTGTCTGCTGCCTCCGCCTCCGCACCTAACTCTTTGACCGGGAATCTAACCTGCCCTCTACAGACCCCTTCTCCAGCCTCCAACAAACCCCATCCTACTGGACACCACCCCACAGCATCCTACCCTCCCTCAACCTCTTCATCTCCAACTGCCGACATTGATCGCCTTAATCTCTGCACCCCCTCGCTCACTCCCCCACGGAATGCACAACCCTCCATTCCCTCCACTCCAACCCTAACCTCACCATCAAACCCACGAATAAGAGGGGGCACAGTAGTGGTATAGTGCACTGACCTCTACATCGCAGAGGCCAGTGCCAACTCTCTGACACCTCCTTCTACCGCCGCCTCAATTATGACCCCACCTCGATCACCAAACCATCATCTCTCAGACCATTCATTACCTCATCACCTCAGGTGACTTCCTACCCACAGCCTCCAATCTCATCGTTCCCCAACCCCACATACGTTTCTACCTCCTTCCCAAAATCCATAAACCTGACTGCCCCGGCCGACCCATTGTATCTGTATGCTCCTGCCCCACTGAACTCATCTCCACTTACCTTGACTCTGTCTTTTTCTCCCTAGTCCAGAAACTCCCCATCTACGTCCAGGATACCATGCCCTCCATCTCCTTCAAGACTTTCAATTCCTTGGCCCCCAACACCTCATCCTCACTATGGGCATCCAATCCCTGTACACTTGTATCCCCCATGCAGATCGCCTAAAAACCCTCCGCTTCTTCCTCTCCCGTAGGCTCTACCAGTCCACCTCCACTGACACCCTCATCTGCTTAACAGAACTTGTCCTTACCCTGAACAACTTCTCCTTTAACTCCTCCCACTTCCTACAAACTAAGGGGGTGGCTATGGGCACCCATTTGGGTCTGAGCTATGCCTACCTCTTCGTAGGATACGTGGAACAGTCCCTTTTCCGCTGTTACACCGGCACCATCCTCTTTCTCCGCTACATCGATGACTGTATCGGCGCTGCCTCGTGCTCCCACGAGGAGCTTGAACACCTCATCAACTTTACTAACACCTTTCACCCCAACTTCAAATTCACCTGGACCATCTCCGATACCTCCCTCCCCTTCCTGGACCTCTCTGTCTCCATCTCTGGTGACCGCCTCAACACTGACACCGATTTCAAACCCACCGACTCCCACAGCTATCTTGACTACACCTCCTCTCACCCACCTTCCTGCAAGAATGTGATCCTGTACTCCCAATTCCTCTGTGTCCAATGCATCTGCTCCCAAGATGGAGTGTTCCATTCCCACACATCCCAGATGTTGCCCTATTTCAAGGACCGCAACATCCCCCCTCCGGTGATCAAAAATGCCTTCAACCGCATCTCTTGCATTTCCCGCACTTCTGCCCTCAAATCCCCTCCCCCAACAAAAATAAGGTCAGACTCCCCCCTGGTTCTCAAATATCACCTCACCAACCTCCGCATCCAGCGTATCATTCTCTGCCACTTACAATCTGTCCCCACAACCAAAGAGATATTTCCCTCCCCACCCCTATCTGCCTTTCTTGGGGACCGCTCACTCTGCAACTCCCTCATCCTCTCCACGCTCTCCACTAGCCCCACCACCCCTGGCATCTTTCCCTGCAACTACAGGAAGTGCTACACCTGCCCCTACACCTCCCCCCTCACCTCCATCCAAGACCCAAAGCAAGCTTTCCACATCCAACAGGGGTTCATCTGGACATCCTCCAACCTGGTCTACTGTATCCATTGCTCCCAATGTGGCTTCTTCTACATAAGTGAGACCAAGCGCAGACTCCAGGACTGTTTTGTGGGAGCATCTGCATTCTGTATGCAATAATCGACAACACCTTCCAGTCGCTAACCATTTTAATTCCCCCTCCCACTCCCTTGATGACATGTCCATCCTGGGCATCCTCCAAGTGCCACAATGACACCACATGCAAACTGGAGGAGCAACATCTCATATTCCATCTCGGGAGCCTACATCACGATGGCCTGGACGTAGAATTCACCAGTTTTAAAATCTCCCCAAACCCGGCCTCATCCCACATCCAAACCTCCCTCTCATCCCCGCCTCCTTGACCTGACACAACCTGTCCATCTTCTTCCCTACCTATTCGCCCCACACTTCCCACTGACCAATCCCTACTACTCCCCTCACCTGCATCCACCTATCACCATCCCAACACCCCTCCAGCCCCAGCCCTCCTCCCTCTATTTCCCAGCTCCCTTACCCCTCCCCAGTTCTGAAGAAGGGTCCCCAACCAGAAACGTTGACTTTCCTACTCCTCTGGTGCTGCCTGGCCTGCTGTGTTCCTTCACCTCCACACTGTGTTATCTCTGACTCCAACATCTGCAGTTCTTGCTACCTTCTAATGTCTTTTCAGCATTTGACTAGACAAAACTATGGCCCATCTATGGCTCGGGGCTGGATTTTGAGAGACTGAAAGGGATGGCACCCACTGTTCAGAATAGGGAATCCCCACAAGTTTCAAGGAGAAAACCTGATAGAAACCAGTTTCCCTCAGGCACTTAAGTGGCCACCAATGGGCCTTCCCACAACTGAGGTCTCCAGTCGGTATGAGTTCCACCCGATGAGAACAGCCGGCCAATTAGAAGCTGGTAGGTACTCTTTTCTGCCAGCCCTATTAGAAATCTGAGACAAGGAAAGGTGTGGGGTTTTCAACAGGCCCTGCATTTCCTGATGGCTTCTCTCCATAGGAGGCTCCTGCCAAACCTCGAGCACAGGAAAGACAAATGGTTCTGTTAAATCCCCAAGGCACCAGTAAAATGCATTGGCTTCAGGGAAAAAGGGTGTCAGTTGGCTCACTAATTAACTTAATTGACATCCTGTCATTTGCCAGGAATCTCCCTCCTTTCCCCCCCCCCCCCCCCCCCCCAACCCCCCCCCCCCCCCCCCCCCCCCCGCACCCGACTTCATTGGGGGAAGATTCTGCACGAAATCCAACCCCCCCGGGTATCAAAGAGTCAACAGAGAGGTAGAAAACCATGAGCCATCCAGATCAACTGAGAACATCCTCCTTAATTCTATCTGTCCTGCTTACTCCACTCCTCTAAGGAGTGCAAGACACCCCATCTCCCTCCCTTTTATCTGCACATAAACTGACATTTTTCCAGCCACTATCAGTTCTGACGAAGGATCACCAGACCCGAAACATTAACTCTGTTTTTTCCTTCACAGATGCTGCCAGACCTGCTGAGCCTGTCCAACAACTTCGTTTTTGTTTCCACTCCTCTAAGGTCATCTCAAAGGCCACACTTTCTCAACCTTGTCCCTCATCTGATGCACAGTGACCCTCAGGTTAAAATCATCACCAGTTGTGTCTCACGAATGAGAGAGAAAATGCGTCCTCTGGACCTATAGTAACGTTCATTTTGGCTTCAAAGCTGATGCAATACCCACCCTTTTGACTGTAGTTCATGTTCTCTTATGTTCGATTTCCATGAAGTGATTCTAGGCACTTGGTACATGCAGGGAGCTACATAGATACACGTGGTAATTGTAACACAAGCACTCACAGAAATATGTGGTTCTTGCATTTCTTGTCACAGCTCCACAGACCTGCAAAGAGAAATGCCAACTGAGATAAGACAAATATGAACCCTAGGCAAACAGAATAGCTGAATTTGACAAGTGCAATATTTTGGGGTTGGTTTTTCAGTTAAAGGAGGCTACAAATATTGGGCTGAGGTGCTAGGCCATGGAGAAATTTGCAAACAAGAATGAAAATTTTAAAATTCAGGATTTGTCAGACTGAACCAATGTGAGCACTGACTGATGAGGGAGTGGCACTTCTTGCAGTTTAGGACCCAGGTGGCAGAATATTGGATGAATTCAAATTTGTGGAGAGTACGAGATGGGAGGTCAGTCAACAGTGTATTGGAATAGTCAAATCTAGAGGTAACAAGGGCATCAATAAGAGTTTCAAAAGCAGATGAGCTGATGCAAGGGCAGAGTCAGGTAATATAATGGAAGTGGAAGTGAGTAGTCTTGATGATGGTGCAAATATACGGTTAGAAACTCATGTCAAGGTCAAATATAACTTTTCTTTGGCCGTCCATCAGGATCAAGGATGACCTGTTTCCACACTGGTTTGATTGGCTCTGAGATGACTGTTAAGTCCAATTTGCAAACTGTAGACTCTGCCATATGCAAGGCAAGTAGTTTTTTTTATTTCAAAAATATCCTTTATCCATAAAAATATCTTTAACATTGGAGTTTGACTCTATCCAACAAACAAAGCAAGTAGTGTTTTAAGTATTGGGTAGTGTAAATGGGTCGTTTGGAGTTTTGTGATCTCCTCAGGGGCCTCAGCTTCACCTCAGCACATTCCCATCAAAGTCTCTTAATGTGTTCAGGGTCTCCTCCATTTTGACTGTGTGCAAAACTGCACATTTTCTGGTTCAGCTTCAGACAGTGGCTAGCAGATTTTAATTACTAGCAAAATAAATCACCTCCAGGCACCAGAAACCCCTTGACAGGATTACCAGATTGGATAATTAGTTTAGAACTAGCATTATCCTGTTGTGTGTATTCTGAATCACAGATTATGTGAGAGCAGTAAAAACAACTATTTGGAATTTGACATGAAAGAACTCGTAAGAATTGCTTAAGATACAAAGCCAAATCCTTTTAATAACGTTATCCGTCAATGCTTCACATAGTTAACAGTGATTCAGACTCTTGTTCCTGCTGATCTGTCCTATACCATTACCTTCACATCCCATTGTTTGTGGTGTTCAAATTGCGTTAGGTTATTGTTTTAACTGAGATAGTGAACTCAATTAGAACAACTTGAAAAATTTCACAGGTGAGTTTTTAAACTCATTGTCTGCTCTGCTCCAAGCTACAGGAATACACTCTTTTCACTTTGTATATTCTACAATTAATAGAAGGTCACAATTTAGATTGTCTAAAAATTAAATTTTAGCTCTGTATTCCAACTTGGCTGTGTTTGTTTTGATTAAGTCAAATTATTGCTTTCATACAAAATGATTTCAGATTTTCAAGAACAGGTTAGTTGTCTCAAAAAGAACCTTTGGCCACATCTCAAATGAATTTCAAAATCCTTGCAGAAACTACTCATTTTACTTCCTAGAGATGCTTCCTCTGTTTGGGGATTCTATATTCATCCAAGCAAGAGACACGGTTTGCCAATCTAAGTTGAATTTCTGGAACATTTTCTGCTTCATGCTGTTGATCCCAGCATGCTTGAGGACCTCATCTTTTCTGATGTTATTCTCCCATCAAATCCTTAATGTGGACTTCAAATGTCTTTCACGGAAGCCATCTGGAGTGAATTATTCGCTTCTGTACTTCCAGTGTGAACTATACGTGCATAGTAAGAATCTAACTAATTTCCAGTTATTAATTTTAATAAAATAGAATAGCAATTTATTGTAATGTGTACTTTTACAAAACAAGTAGTGAAAAGTTTTATAAATCACCATACCAGGGCACCTAAATTAATTAATACAACTAATTAATAGCAGAAAAGGAACTGATTACATTAACACAGTCTCCTGAAGTGCATGTTGGGTGTATCATTGGAGTGCATTGATTGGTAATAGATTGCATAAGATTATGTTTCACCTGACCATAAACCTTACAGAACTCACAAGCTTCGGTATCCGTTTCCCTGTTTCCATCAACTCATCCTGTTTTGCCAACACTCTCCTTCTCTCCCTCTTCCATTGACGTTAATGATTCTAGTTAGAATAAAGTTTCACAAAGACCAGTTGGCACCTTGTACCTGTCTTAAATATAAAGGTGGGTGAATGGCGATTTCTCACAAGTGAGGCCCATAAATTATTCAGCTGTGGTGTGCTTCACAGTCTCCACCTGATCCTCCCCTATTCTCTACATATGGTTTTATTTTTCAAACCTGGTCATCTTCCTTCTCTATTTGGTTTGTTGCATACTGGCCACTCATCTCACTGGATTGAGCTGTCACAAGTGCTTCTTTCTCATTTTTATTAACTACCTCAGTCAGTTACATTCTCTTTCCCTCCCCTTCCTCAAATGCAATATCTCACCAGATGATAATTCCTACCAAAACGTTCAACATCATTGTTCTAGTGACTAAAATTCATGTTTCCATTACAACAGAGTCACTATGATTTCCGTAGAATCATTCCAAGGTGTACGTAAACACACTTCCACCAAGGATCAAGAAATAACGGTGGAATTTATGACCAACATTCACTGTTGAGACCAGGGAACAGGTCAGGTGTAGTTTACCATTGCTCTGATGGAGCTACCTAACTGTGCATCAAGCCACTCCTTAGCCCTACATTGAAGTCAGGGCCTTCATCAAACTCCTTAAACCTCTCTAGTGTGTAGGAGCGAAACTAGTAGTGTACAGAGATGTTAAAATGTATTCTAAGAGAAGGATATTTCACTGAAATTCCTTAACTCTCTGGGTTTGTGCATGTATTGTGTTTTTGCCATGAAAAATAATCTGCTGGAAATACTCAAGCAAATCAGGCAGCATTGGCTAAGTGATAATCAAAGTTGATGCATCACGTTGATAATCTTTCATCACAATTGAACATCCATTTTGTTTTTATTCATGTTTTTCATCTCTCTGACATTTTAAAATTTAGTATGTTAAATTGAAGTACAGGTGGTGTTTCATTCTCATTCTCTTTTCCTCTTTGTTTTTAAAGATTAGCAATACAATGTGTCCAAAACAGGTACAATCATATAATGATCAAGTTACTGAATCAGTAATCCAATAAATTCCATCAGGGCAATTTCAGTATTTGTTTTTACAGAATCCCTATGGTGTGGAAACAGGTCATTCGGCCCAACATGTCAACACAGACTCTCCAAAGAGCATCCCTATACTATCCTTGTAACCATGCATTTCCCACAGCTAATCCACATAACCTACACATCCCTGGACACTATGGGTAATTTAGCATGGCTAATCCACCTAACCTGCACATCTTTGGACTGTGGGAGGAAACCCACGCAGACATAGGGAGAATATGCAAACTCTGCACAGACAGTCGCCCAAGGCTGGAATTGAGCCTGGGTCCCTGGTGTTGTGAGGCTGCAGTTCTAACCACTGAACCACCTTTGAAATAATTTGAATATTTCTGGAAGTATAGATCTGACATCAGTAGAAGCAACCTGTCTGATTATTGTAAAAGAACAATACAGAGACAATTTTATTTTTAAAAGGACAACTCAAAAGGGAGTGCAAGGGCAGAGAGAACTGTGTGTATAGGGACATAAATCATTAAAGGTGGCAGGATCTTGAGTGTGCTGGGTTGAGGGTGCTATTCACAAAGATTGGAAAAGCTTTATTAATCCAGGCATATAATACAAGAGCAATTAGGTTAACCTGAATTTATACGATAGTTTCTGCTGCAGTGCTGCACTTTAGGAAGGATCTCAAGGCATTGGAGACAGCACTGAAAGATCTAACAGAATAATTCCAGTGATGTAGAACTTCAGTTAAGGAGATAGATTGAAGAAATTCAAACTAATTTCCTTGGAAAAAGCTCAGAAGAGGTCTGAGAGACGCATTCAAACTCATGAGCAATCTGGCAGAGAAGACAAAGAAATTGCTTCTACTTGAAGGGATCAAGAACAAGAGGACACAGATTTAAAATGATTGCTAAAGAAAGCGAAAGCAAGATGAGAAAAAACATCTTCATTGAGCAAAATGTTTAGGGTCTAGAATGGACTGCCTGAATGTGTGGTGGAGGCAGGTTCAAAGTAAGGTTTTCAAAAAGAGTTGATAGAACATAGAACAGAACAGTACAGTACAGTACAAGCCCTTTGGCCCACAATGTTGTGCCAAACGTTTACCCTAAACCTAAGGTCTATCTAACCTCCACCCTTACCTTGATGTCCAGGGTTACAGGCAGTACAAGGGTTCCAAGTGGAGAGTGCCCATTTGGAGAGTCCACAGCAGATGCAAAGGGCCAAATAACTTCCTACACTGTAACAATTTTGTACTTCATTAGTTTTTTAAGGGATGGAAACTTACCATTCTTACTCAGTTTGAGCCTCAATATGACTCCACTCCACGCTGTTCTGAGGAACATTAACTCTGATTTTCTTTTTCCTCACAGCTGCTGCCAGACCTGCTAAGCTTTTCCAGCAACTTCTGTTTTTATTCCAGTAACTAACTTTGTTGACTCTTGACTACCTCTGAAGTCAAAGAGATCTACAGCTTAAGAAAAGGCCGTTCAGCATATCGTGTCCCAGCCAGTCAAAAACCACCACCTAAACTATTCTAATCACATTTTCCAGCACTTGGCCGTTAGCATGACAAATGATTTAACAAGCAATTCCGTTTTATTGGCGTTTCTAGTAAAAAGGCCTTTCTCAGGACTTTAGGGAATTAGTAATAATTGCAGCCCCAAGAATAAATATAAAAACAGAGAGGTGTTTATCAGACTAACGTTTGAAGGTGTCAGCCTGGATCAATGCTTCATCCCACCAGAAAATCATGGGTTCAAATCCTGGGGACTTAAACATATGATCCGGATTAACACTTCAGTGCGGACCTGATCGAGAGCCGCATTGTCTGATGTGTTATCGTTAAACTGAGGCTCCATCAACCTTTAAAGATGCCAGGGCGCTATTAAATGAAGGGGAATGCTTTTCAATTTCTGCATTGCCGATATATATCCCTCAACACCTCTATAACAGGTGAAGAGGTCATTATCAAATTAGTGTTGGGGGCGTGTTTGCTATTTGCAAACTGCCTGCTTTTCTAATTCTAGTGTATTGACGGTAAGGAATATCTTGATTTTGTAAAATCGAGTTCGCCTCCCTCCCCTTTAAAAATTTAAAACACATTTCAATAGACAACACACTACAGTTTGTTTCCATTGTTGAATTTTATCCATTTATTGTTTGCCTATGCCAGTGTCTCAGAGTCAGACAGTCTTAGCATTTTAGTTGTAAACACTTTGAGCGGACGCACAGATCTCATACGAGGCAAAAATACAATTACTAAAGCTGCTGTTGCAATGCTGTGTTTCTAAGCTGGGCCTAGTACAACCCGCTCAAGTTTTTTTTTGCAAACTGCCGAGCATCTTCCAGGTGTAAATGCTCACGGCAGCTTCCCGCTGCTAATAGCTCAATCTCACACCTTTTTCATTCGTGTTTCCTCTTCCCATCTGGACTCCCCAGTGAATCCCTTTTGTAAACGGTTAAAAATCTCACATCCTGTTGTCTTGTGTCAGACGGATTTTAACATCGTTAGATGTCATTATTATACAGAGAAGGCTAGCGATTAGCGCGGTGAGACATCCCATAATAATAACGCCCCGCCCTTGTGTGTAGACCAAACATAACTTTACAATTAGATGCTGTGAACTTTCTCTAAACCTACAGTAATACTATCTCAATTCACTACATTGAGTTAAAATCACGGTCGCAAAGAATATGTATCCTTTTGGGCCCTAATGGTCTACTTAACCTCTTTTATAATTTCACTGGCAGATTGATTGGATAATTAATGTCACTGAACTAATAACTCAGCAGCCTATTCTAACGTTTTAGGGCCATTGGTTGGAACCTGCTACAGCAGCTAGTGGAATTTAGTTAATAATTCTGGGACAAAAAAATGCCAGTGATGGTAAGAGGTATTGCTGTTTGTTGTAAAAACCCACCTGGTTCCCAAAAATCCTTTTATAGAAAGAAATCTTCTTGCATTGAAGTCGATTCTGAAATGACCTCACAAGCTGTTCAGTCCAAAGGCAATTAGGAATGGACGACAAAGGCTGGCCTTGTTAGGCACATCCACATTCCTTGAGTTTCAAATTCACCTCCTCTTTTAAATAAATTAATAACAACATGTTTGTCAGTTAGTTATCACCACCTAGAGGCAGCACTGGGGTTCTGGTTAAAGAACCCCATCTACTACGAGTTGATATTGATCAACAGCTTAGAGGGTCAAATGGTCTACCTCTGCATCTGGCAAGTTTTTTTTTCATCTAGTAATATTCTTTTTAGGTCAAATTCAACTGTCTTATGTATTTCTAGTATTTCAGCTGAAAACCTATTGCCATATCAGGTGTGAAACTAGTGATTCAGCAATACAACTCAGGGTCTAAGTGATCTGGATGCAATGTTATAAATACCAGGAGCCACTGATTTCTTTATTACAAAAATAGACTTTATTCAGAAACAAAATATCTGAAGGTACAGACAAAAAGCTTCTCATTCTCTTCTGTGCAATCATTCCAAAGAGGAAAATGAAACACAAACAATACATTAGAATTTTATATTCACATACCTACCGTGCAGTTGTAAATAACAAGGGTATTTTAATTCGTGCAAGAAGGAAGTATTTTATTTTGAGGCAATGGGGGATCTGATAACTGAACGTGCTCCACTATATTTTTGCAGAAAGACCTCAGACCGCGGTCTTTCCACATTGTGCCTTGGCGGTAGCTGCCCTAAGTTTCAGTGCATCCCTCAACATGCAGTCCTGGACCTTGGAATTTGCCAGTCTGCAACACTCGGTCCGGGTCAACTCCTTGCACTGGAAGACCAACAAGTTTCAGGCAGACCAAAGAGCATCTTTCACCGGGTTGATGATCCTCCAGGCACAGTTGATGTTTGTCTTGGTGTGTGTCCCGGCGAACAGGCTGCAGAGCACAGAGTCCTGCATCATGGAGCTGCTAGGGATGAACCTTGACAGAAACCACTGCATCTCTCTCCAGAACTTCTTTGCAAAGGCACATTCCAGAAGGAGCTGTCTCTTCATCAGCGCAGCCACTTCAGGGCCAACATGCAGTGGTGGAGATAGTTTAGGTGTATGTGAAGGATCTGATGGGCAGTGCCTTTCTTGTCATCAGCCAAGCAATGTCTTGGTGGCTGTTAGAAAATGCTGGCAATGAGGCATTCCACCAAATGATTTTGACGGTCTACTCAGGGAACCACACAATAGGATCAACCCTCTCTTTAACTTACAAATTTGTCTTTTGTTCGGTACAACATACATTATCTTCATCTGGTTAAGAAATCCTTTAGTATAACGTGAAATTCTAACATAAAAACCATTTCTCATTAAATGGAAGAACAATATTCTTTTGGAAGAAGTGGTACAACAGAACCCTTTAGGAATATTTATGGAACCCAGGTTGGAAAAGACTGATCATTGAGTCACTGGGAAAGAAATCGCTGCACACTTAATTAACAACAAAGTAGCGGCAGGGATAGCTGTTTCCAAAAAAATGCGAAAACTGGCTACAAAGAAAATACAACATGTCCACCTGTCTTGTTTATATGTCCAGTACCAGAATGCACTGCTTTCAGAATCCTAGCAAAGTCCAAATGGATAGTTTTGTGTGTCTCTTGAACTAAGCTATTATTTGTACATTATCACAAATTATTTCACAAGATGACTCAATATCTTTGCCCACCCATACTTTAGCCCTCTGAGGCCATAAGCTTCAGTGTAGAATGTCCTCTCTAAATCTCTCCCTCCCTCTCCCGTAAGAAATGCTCCTTAAAGCTTAACTCTTTGAAAAACCTTTTAGTCAGCTAAAACTACCCTTGCCTCGTCGAATATTGCCAAGTTACATCTTGGAAATTATTATGGCGTTCATGGTTCTGTATAGAAAGAAAAAAAGCATACATTTAATGTAGGGATAGTAAGAACTGCCGATGCTGGAGTCAGAGATAACACTGTGTGGAGCTGGAGGAACACAGCAGGCCAGGCAGCATCAGAGGAGCAGGAAGCTGACGTTTC